CTCTCTCTCTCTCTCTCTCTCTCTCTCTCTCTCTCTCTCTCTCTCTCTCTCTCTCTCTCTCTCTCTCTCTCTCTCTCTCTCTCTCTCTTTGAACTCACAGCACCACTTTTGTGCCCTTCCCCTATCTACAATTGCATGGTTGCCGGTACATTCCCTCATGTCCTGTCGAAGATCGTGATGATGGTAGAGTGCATGACCTGTGACAAGGTTTCCCACTCCAATCAGGATGTCACTCTATGGCCCTAACGCTCATTCCAGGTGTCTGTTCTGACCGATCGCATGTTCCGAAGTCACAGCTCGATCGCTTGCGTTGAGTGGCAAGAGTAACTAGTCAACCATGCCCCTGCTCTCCTCTTGCTCAAACATTTCACCACCGCGGCAGACCCACCTCCGAGCCGGCTTCCCTCCCAAGGCGTGCCCAATTTTTCATCTGCCCCATCAATAGCGCATCGTGTGATTCATTAACTTCGATTTGCTCACTTTTTTTCTCTTTTCTTTTCAGGCAGTTTCCAGCTAAAAATTACCCAAAAAAGTTTGAAAAAAAACTTCATCTTTCTCTTCTTCAGAGTTTTTCTGTTTTTAAGAAGTCCATATATTTCCAGCTTCCCAGCACTACAGCCAGCCCACCCTCTCGCTTTTTTTTGTTTTTTATTTTTTTTGCAGTCAGCTCACCCTGTTGTCACAAAAGGTTTCAAATAATTGCTTCAGGGAAATACAGGAGCAGGTTAGGGAGCTGGCATCTGCAGCAGGTACCGGTGCTGCCGGGGGGTGCTCTGGAAAGGGACATGGAGGGGTGATTCTGCAGAGTTTCTATGACTTAGCCGATGCTGGAGGAGTGACGATCAGGGGAGTAGGCAAGAAGAAGACATCATTCAGGAACAACGACAACAGCGTATCGATTTGCCTTTTTTTTTTCCTTTTTTTTTCCAGGAGGTCTGCGAGACAAGAAGCCACCGACAACAGCTTATTGATTAGCGATGTTTTCTTTCTTCTTTTATTCAGGAGGTTTGCGAGACGAGAAGCTACCGTCTTCCACCAACGGGCCTACCTTTTGCCCCCCCAATACAACGCACGATCATTATAGCTTGTATTTTGACTGAAAGATACCCCAAACACAGCTATAACGCCCGTACGTTGTATTCGGGGGGAGAAGGTAGATGAACTGATGATGAAATACAGGTCCAGGTTCAAATCCCAGATACTGTTAGATGAACAGAACAAAATCATTCTGAATTACCTGGGCCAGGTCAGCATTCTGAATTACCTTTTCGAAGCTACCGGCTTCCGCGGAATAGAACTTAACGGTCAGTTATTACTGTGTCTATAGACGGAACGCTGCCCCAAAAGATACAGCCATAATCACCGCACGTTCCGTTCGAGGGAAGACGGCACACAAAAGAGCGCAAGTTGAGGGAGTTCACAGTAGAAGAAGCTGGCAAGGAGTGAGAGGGTTCGAGTCAAAAAATTATTCCATACTTCTCTGCTGTTCGGCATCATCGGTGGATCATTTCTGTTCGCGCAGCAAACATTATCCCCCCCCCCTTTTCTTTTTAATCCCTGCGAGAGCCATTTCACAATTGTGTGTGGGGGACAGTCCGGGAGAATGACTCGTCGAGGGGGAAAAAAAAACGTTTGCACAAACCAGAAGTTAAAACATTGACGGATGACGACCTGCAACGGTTTGCGAGAATTAGAACGAGTATACACGAGCACGGCTTGACAGACGCGAGTTAGAAATTCGAATCGAAAGTTCATCATTGATCGCTACACAACTCCTCACTTCAGGTTTGAACCGCCGGTTCACTCGAGTCTGAGTTGAGCTCTTACCAGAAGACGCGGCGCAAAGAGCATTTCAATTCGGGCCCAGGCCGGAAATAAAAGCAGCAGGGCACCTTGAAAAGGCGAAGTTGCAGGCTAGTGAGCCTTGGAAGGTAGCTTTGACAAGTTAGGCTTGTGTGAACTGGTGGTATAACCATATCCACTCAAAGCTAAAAGCAGGCCATGCAAAAAAAAAAAAAAAAAAAAAAAAAAAGCAGGCCATGCGTGATGCATCTTAGAGGCGTGACGGTTCAGGAGCTGCACCCAAGAGCCACCAACCGGGGTCAGTTGACGGCCCGGCCTCGACCAGGTTTCGTTTAGGACCAGCACGATCCGCCCTCGGTGGGATGTGTCCTGCTGCCCTGTGGTTCGGGGCCAGCACCCAAAGTCCCATTGGCTACTCCGCTGGCAGGCTGACCTGAATTCCTTTTCGGGCTGGCAAGATCTGGCCTTGGGCAAATTTGGGATGTGAATGCACCCTGGATTGCACCAGCCAAAAGAAAATTGACCAGGCAGTGCCACCAAGCCAAAGAAAAACTGCCATGTGGAGCGAAGCGAAGATGGGGGGAGAGAGAGACGGAGAGAGAGTCGTATCCAGACAGGGGCAAGAGATGCAGAGAGAGAGAGAAGAGAGAGAGAGAGGGGGGGGGGCCCAGACAGAGTCGTATCAAGAGCGAGAGAGTCGTATCTAATGTG